AGCAGTGCATTTTCTGTTGATTTCAACAGCAACAAACCCAGAATATGAAAGTTTTATCTGCCCCTAAGTCCTGGCAGGTAACCATGGCAATCGTATAATTTCCAACAGCTCATGGAAAATACTTAAAACTTCTAAAGTGAGCTGTCCCATTAATAATGAAGAACATCAGTGTTTTGCCATCTGTTATATGCTACCAGTGTATATGAAAGACCAGCAGTTGTGTAAAACAATTTCAGCTGCAAGTTGGAATCAGTTTGGCTTGTAATGAAAAGCTGCAAGACAGCATAACATAAAATGTGGTGCATCGGACTCTGCTTTTTAGTTTATAGCTTAACATAATCCCTGATAGCTGCTAAGAGTCTACAAGATTTCCATTATGTATTCTCATTTTTAAAGATCGGCAATGTGATATATGCATTTTATTGTGGGCAGATTCTCAGGAAAAAGAAGGTAATAAAATATTTTGGGAGGCATTAATTTCAGATTAAAAAATCTTTTCCCAGATGTGTTTTGCTGCTCCTGCAATCTGAAGCAGTTTTACCTCTTAACTGGAATTCTGTGGGCCCTTAATCAAAATTACATGCTCAGGAACTGTGGTCTAGGAAATAAGTTCATGTAGAAACAGAAGTAGTTATATTTACAGAACCTGTCTACAAATTGAAGGTGAATACTGGTATGTTTAGTCTCAGTTAACAATTTGTGGTTACAAGCTTCCTCTGCATAACTTGGTGGTAACCATGGCCAAGATGTTCTACAGATGTATATCAGAGTCTGTGCATGCTTTTTCTACTACTGAATCCCACTCTATATAGTACCTTTCTTTTAATAGGGGAAGAGAGGTTCTTAATCAATTAGGAAGGGCAACGGATTATGGTTCTAGGCAGTGTATCCCTGCATGTACTAGTTCCTTTTCTATGCATGGAATGCTTTCATGAGTGGTTGATCAAGTGGTGCCAGGTGTGTGAGGCTTTTTATTGGTCACATTGGAGCTCCTTTTCAAGTACAGTCAGGTAATTTCAGCATCTTTACAAACAGCAGTAGTGGCTGTCCAGAAATAATTCCTCCCACTGAGGACGTGTGCAAAGAATTTATCTTTAGAATTGAAATCTCCAATCTTGAAAGCAGATCTGCCTTCTTGGAATACACTTTTGCCCTCTCTAGTGCCATGGGACCAGGGATTGGGTTTATCATGGATATAGTAGGAGATGTTTTATGAGTAATAGTTAAGTTTCTTCAAGTTTTGGGATCATACCTCTACCACTGGAGCCAGTTAGAAGAACTGAAAGAACCAGTTAGCCTTGCCTTTTGGTTTTAAAGTTAGTAAGATTGTAGCCAATTGTTCAAATACTTTCATGGAAAGATCTGTAGAAACAGCATCTAGGGCTCTACTCAGTAAAACGCCTAAAAACATGTGCTCCCAAATTGGTTATGAACGGATCTAGTATGTTCTATATAAAAATGGAGAAAAACCTAATATAGAACAATCTGGGGTTTGTGTAATAACTTCAGATATTTATAATTCGTATCCTGTAAACAGCTCCAGCTCTTGAAAGTATAGGAATCAAATACGTATAATGCTGATTTTAGGACCAGTTTTGGTGTGTGCTTCTGGGAAAAACAATGTAAAGGTTTTTTTTCAGAAGTATATGTAGTTGTAATTTTAACAAAATTATTTTGTCTCCAAAGTACATTCATATCAAGCATACAGAAGTCTGCATATTGAATCTTAGGGGAAGATCTTTGCTGGTCCCTGTGTTAATAGAAATGTGAGTACAGATTTGTATTGACAGATACAGCCTCATGTGTCCTAATTTAGTTTTTTTCACTGATAAAAATCCCAATCAAAATCTTTCCCTTTACTTTTTGCTTGTAAATAAAAATGCTGTTCAGGAGTTGGAATATAAAACACTAACTAGATTTCAGTTGTAGGTAATTTGGTCTAATGGAAAGAGGGTAGTGATTACCTTTTCATAATGTGAGACTGAAAAAAACTAAACTGGCCAGCCTTTGATACACTTGTGGTTTTCTATTACCAATTATTCTAGTCACTGTTTTGTGACAAAACCTCTTCATTACTGTAACAACTTGTCAGTAACAACTGTGCAGTAAAATAGTTCCTCTGAGTAGCCAACCTGCTGCTGCAAAATGCATGTCTAATGGTAAAGTATAGGCCTCCAGCTGAGTCATTTTGCCCTTAGGTTACATTACTTCTGGTAAGGACAGTGGGCCTCTGTACCTGGTACCGAACCTCATGGTAGATTGCTTAGTGTTTAGTTAAGATTACATTTCTGTCAGGCTAAAAGAGCAGTTTTGACTTTTCAGGGTGAGTTTAATTTCTGAGATTTTCTGTATTTTGCTTATAAAAGTGGCAGAAAAATAGCTATATCATAAGCACCAATTAGATCAGCTTTAAACAGAAAAAATGCATTCCCTAAACATGTTGTGTCAGTCTTAATTAGAAAACTGTGCTGTTACTATTGGTAGTTAATGGGATTCTTTACAGTAACTTAGGGGATAGAAAGTACTAACATTGAGCATTTTGCTGCTGGGTTTATAACAAAGTGGTCCTGCCTGTGAAAGGAGATGTATTTATTTAAATGCATGTGCAGTACAGGAGTTGTACTAAAAGAATGCGGCTTCCTCTGAAGAGTGTATTTCAACATAATTGAAACAGTTTCACTGTAAATACTGCTGTTGAGGGTTTGTGACCAAAAACCCCTTAAGAATTGAAAAAGTGCTGATGAATGTGGAAAATGGGGATTTTCTTGAAAAGTGTAAATGGGTGCTTGAAAGCATAATTGGTGGAAAATGATTGAAGTAGAATAGAATCAAGGATGTGTAGTGGGGGTAAGGCCAGTTCTTTGAAGTGGCTCAAAGCTGAGGCCATGTCTGCACTGGGAACAGGCTTGTAGAGCAAAGCAGTGCTCCTCCTGCCTTCATGATACACCATCATGTAAGAGGAGGAGAGTATAACTGAAGAACTGAAATGGTCTCATGTGCCAAGCATCACAGCTACTCATGTGGTTAAAGCTTTTGGAACCAAAACTGTTCCACAAACTTCTTTCTTCTTCTCCGAGCCCTCCTGTGTGCCACACTTTCTATCTTCTACCTCACACAGCTGGTGGTAGCAAATTAGCGTCCCTACTAATGTGATCACGCAATACTTTAAATCCCTTGAGTAAAAGATGGGAAGACAAGTTCCTTGAGCTAGTCAAGAATCCAGTAAGAACAAAAATTTAGTGAGAAGAGGAAAAAAAATGAAATTAGTTAATCAGTATTGCAGTACCCTTTTATTTATTAGCATTCTATTTTATTCTAGTATTATGTGTCACCACCTATTAAAATTTCTCTCAACAGCTTGTGTAGACTTCTGTTCCACACATTTGTCCAAACCTTGTCAATGCAGTGGGGCATAGAGCAAGCTGTTGCTCTGTTCCATTTAAGTAGTAACTCTACGCAGTTGTGGAGTATGGGGTGGCAGAGTGGATGAAGTGCCAACCATACAGCTTTGGCTTTTAATAAAGCATCAGTTTCCAAGAGGTTTCAGACTTCCTCTTTTCATTTCTCAGTAACTCAACTAACACTAGAATCACTTCCTACACAATTTGTGTATGTTGCTGAAAAACAATATGACTGCTATAAAAGAAATAGCAAACAATATAAAGCATAGAGGTTGTTTTTTTGTTTTCATACTGATCTTGATTGTTACATGTATTAATATTAAACTGGAATGTGAAACAGGGCTGAACATCTGTCAGTTCATATCTATAAAACAAAATGAATATAGATTTTGGAATTTTGTGAACTCAGTTAACATCACAAGAACGACATAAGTTTTTGAAGCCTGTGTCTTCAGCAATTATAAATGTTACAGTAATTACATGTTATTAAGTAATTGCATGCAAATAAAAGATGAGCAGAAGAGACTTGCTTGAATTATAAAAAATGAGTGTTTTGAGTATACAGGATTATTTGCCAGTATTTGCAAATGTACTTTAATATTGGTTGGAGGTTTTTTGTTTCTTTGTTTTAATTCTATGAATTTAAATGACTACTTTAAGAAACGTCATCCACAGTCTTTGCTTGTTTTCTTATGTCTCCTAAAAATAATGCTGTTCCTAGTAATTTTCCTAATGAAAGAGAACAGAACAAAAAAATCAATAAAGGTTCTAGGAACTCCACATCAGTCCAGAATTTGAAAGAGCATCTTTAATTTAAGGATGGATTACTCTGTTTTATCTAAGGAAATAATAATCTTCAGATTTTCATCCTGTCAAATGTTTAGACTTTATATCATAGTTCATTGTAATTATGATCCCTCCCATGAAAAGGTTGAAGCTAGCTGTAAGTTACAGGGTACATGGCATGAGACTTTTAATTTTCAAGTCCCTCAGCAGAATGTGGAGTTCATAGAATTATTTTATTTATTATATAAAATACAGAGTGCTATAGGAATTTAAGATTTTTATGACAGTTGTAATGTTTAAAAATCAATCTACTATATGAAAACTTAACCACAAAATAATGATTTCTTTAGATAATAATGAAAAAGCTGGAAAAATATTAATCTATTCTGGAGTTTTTGTACCCAACATCTGAGAAGTATGAATTACGATGGAATTACAGGAATAAGTTGATATTTCCTCCTTCAGAGACTGGTAATTCTGGATCTCCAAAGGAATAACATAAATTGTTATGCCACTGCCTCTGTGCCACTGTTATGCACTGCCCTGCTAAGGCTGTAGCATTTTGTGGAGAGCTACTATTAGGAAAATAATTCCATAGAAGAAACATCCTTCCAGGGAGAGAATTTGGCATCCTGTCAGTGGATGTTTTTGCAAAACAGTTTTTTTAGGTTGCATGATTTTCCTTCATCTGTAAGAAGGACAGTAAAGGGGGTTTTTACATATTGCCAACATATTTTTATTTGGACTTTTCAGTTGCATTTTAGAACTGAAAATCACATTCTTCATGCCATTCATATTTCTTTCTCTTTTCAGGATGCAAAGTTTGTGGAAGAGCGACGCAAGCAGTTACAAAATTACCTAAGGAATGTAATGAACAAAATTATTCAAACTGTGCCAGAATTCACAGCCAATCCCAAAAAAGAGACTCTTATTCAGCTGATGCCCTTTTTCATGTAAGTATCTGTCAAGTAGTCAAGAAAATATTAAGCTTTTTCACTACAATTTAAAATACAGTGTCAGCATCTCCAAAATCTGTAAACCAGTATCATTTTAAATAGAAGGCTCCTGTTCAAATTACAAGTGCTTTTGTTATATTTAAAGTCATATCTAGTAATTGTTGTTGATATGAATGGTGACTTTGAACAAAAGTCACTGTGTAAAGCTTAGAAAAATATCTAAGCTCCTCAAAACCTGCATCCACACATGCTCTTCAAACATGTGATGCTTTTGATTTCTTTTGCCTTTTTCAGGTTTATTTTGGTTTTGTTTCTGTGGGGTTTGTATTTTTGTTTTTAAGTTTATGTTGGCACTGAGGGTGGAGCGCTAGTAGGGACTTAGCAACCAACTTAAAAGTCAAGTTGTTGGAAGCTATCTAGCTGAATTTTGCAATCTGCTGATGCGTGTTCTGATTTCATTAATGTTAATGTTGACTATGTCCAGAAATAGTTTAATACAGTCATCTGGTAAGAATCTCAAAACAAACCCGTTGATATACAGTCATAGGAGGCATATCGTCTGTTCAGATCTTTCAGTTTTGCTGCAAACACCATTCTTTACAGTATTTTTAAATAATATTTAGACTTATTTAAGAAATATTAATGAAAAATCTTTCTGAAAGTGGTCTCAATTTACTTCTTTCACTGATAATTTTTCAGTATAATGGTTTTTCAGTCCTAGACCTGTACGAATTCTGTAGAGGTTGAACACACACTCATAGTAAACCATCATATTCCATTTGCTGTCCACAAAGCTCTGCACAGGGATTGTGCATCCATGCCTGTGAATCCATGGATGAGTTTGCAGAGTCAAGACTGATTTAAAATGAATATGTTTCAGCAGATATGTGCATACTTACTGTTTGCATGGGCTTAGGCAGAGTTTCAGCTTTCCAAGTTCAAACTTTATTTCAAGCAAGCTATCTTTGTTAGAAAATGTAATAGATAAATAGAAGAATGCCAGGATGTATTTTGTGGCATTCATGTTTGTTCAATTTTTCCTGGATTTGAAAAAGCAAAAATCAATTTAATGAGCCATCATGATGAGTAAATAGCAAATCGATGTTTGTAGGGATAGACATCTCAAGAGACTTTACCTTTCTCTCCCTAAGAACTTACTTTGTAGAATTTGACTAAGGGTTGTAAAACAGGCTCTAAAGATTGAAATGGTTTCAAGTACTTCTAGTTGAAAGGCTCCTGCATGGCTTTTTGTTAAATCATTTAAAGAAGCTGTCCTTGTACTTCATTTTGGTATTTAAAGAGGGGGGAGGTGAATGCAAAATACATTTGAAACTCAATATTCAAATAATTTTTGTTCTCCTTTCCAATGCTACTTTATTTTAAGCTGGTTGAGTTTATCAGTGGAAAGTAGTAAACTGGTAATTTCTTGTCAACTTCATGTCATAACTTGCAGCTTTAACTGCTGTTTAAGGTCCTGTCTTTTCATTGCATGGACATAATTGATTATCTTGAGTTGTACGCAGACAAGAGATAATGCAGAATAACATCTGTAACCCAGGGGTAGCTCAGCTTCAGTCTGCTTATGAAAGAAATGTAATTTCAGTCTTTGTGGGGCACAGAATATTTTAACAAATTATGATGGTTTCAAGTGTACATTGAGTTGCTGTAGTAGTAATTGTCATTACCTCAACAGTACAAGTGGTCATAGAGGCACCAACACAACTAATATTAAAATGTGAGATAAGGAGATGTTTTCCACCAGAAGCTATTATGTTAGGAAGTAACATCGGATATTCATTAGCAATATTTATGTGAAGCTTTGGCCTGAATTCATGGAAAACATACTGGTAATAGTAGTTCATTACTGGAACTGTGATGCATTATTTACATGCTTTAACCAGAATTGTGTTGGTTTTGGATTTTAATTCAGTTTCAGTTATTAGAATTTCAGACATTTTTAAAAAATGTCATTAATTCAGCAGCACTGAACAATTCGACAGTGACCATACTGTGAGATCATAACTACGAGCTAACACAGTACTGATGGAGAAGCAATGATCCTGCTTTTCAGGTGGTTTGTTTGTTGTTTTGTTTTTTTTTTTTTTTCATCTTAATACACTGTTGTCACACTATCTTTCTATTCTACTTTGAGAAATGACATTTCAAGAATACTTTATTTATAAGCTCTTAGTCAGTTTATGTTAAAAGCAGGAAGGGAAGATAAATTTCCTCTTATTCCTCAGCCCTAAACAATTAACTTGCTTTCTGAGAGATCATCTCATCTCTTTTATAAGTGTGTAAATAGAATTTAGATCTCATGGTTTTGCTTATTAAAATAAAAGTGCCAGGTATGAGGACCTGCACAGGAGATGTAAAATCACATTACATAATGGATTCTACCAGTGATGCACAAGTCAGAATAAATAACATTACCCTGTAGGTAAAATGTTGAAAATACACCCAAAAGCCCCTCCAAAACCAAAACACACCTACCAAAAAAAAACAAACACAAACCACCACAGAACCCCCCCCCCACCCAAAGAAAAAACAAACCCACCCCTTTCTTCTAATAAATGTAATGAGCTGAATAAGATACAATTAATTTCACTGAAAGAACAGAGTTTTACTGAGAAGGCAGCACAATTCAGTAACCTGTTTCCTCAATAGGGGTACAATTTAGTATGTGAAAAATTGTGGTAGAAAATAAAGCAGTTACCTTGAACGAAATAAATGTGTTCTAGGAGATTTGCTCAAGGAAACTTGCTAACACCATTTGTCAGCAATTTGTAAATGCCAGTATGATGCACTGATTGATGCTAACCTTTTTTGGGTATAGCTATACCATAGCTTGCAAAAAGACTATAGTTATTTTCAGTGGGTTTATATTTGCATTTGGCAATTTCATGATTCGTGACACATCACTTGAAGCAGTGGACTGTAGTGGATTCAAGAATATTCTTTGATCCCTGGATGTTGTGGCAAAAAGATTCTGTTCATATATGTATTGTAAATTATTTCCTCGGAGTTTTTTATTCTCAAATAATAGGTGCGTCAGCATTCTCTCTTAGCTAGTGTAGGGCATTCTCCATGGGAATATTAGTGGGATTCTAGAAAACCTTAGCTGTGAGCAAATTAACTGTGTAACTCATTTCCAGCAGACAAAGTGGAGTTTGAATGCATTTTTCTACTGAGATATAGGCTTTTCCTCAGCAGATAGAACAGCAGTCTTAGATTAATAGAAAGGTCTTCCAGACAATTATAGGAGGAGCACATTTTAGAAAGTATCATTATTGCTGGGCTGTCATTTGAATTCTCAATGTCCTTTATTTTCTGAGAGTCATGACCTGGCACTTGGTGAGTGAAAAAAAGCATCTAAAAGAAAATGAATTTCAGTTCCACTTCATATTGCCAACTTCTCCAGTATTGCCCTTCCTTAGTGGATTCTGAGCTTCAGCAACAGGAGATCTCAGATGTGCTGGACTCTGAAATGTTTCTTACCTTTGTACCACACCTGCAATTCTTCTAGTGTGTTAGATTTACTAATATTTTGGTTTAATAATATGAACCATAGTAAATACATATAATAATTTGGATATATTTTGTGCTTTTAGCACATATGTGTGTATAGCTGCAGGTTAAATCTTTATTAATGAAAGAGTTAACATTGAAATATTAGTTGTGGGACTGTGGTGTAGAGGGTAGTGATACCTCAGTCTGGGAGAAAATGTTGCAGTCTTAACATGCATTGAAAGTCTGTGGGGCATCAGCTCTGTCTGTTAGTTAGCAAGCAATGAAATATAAACTTAAATAAATAATTAGCTGGTCTTAAGAAGTTTCTTCTTGCTGCAAAATAAAATGACCACATTTCAGTGTGAAAATGAAAAATGCCATAAAGGTTTTACCTGATCAGACATCCGATAGAAAATACAGGGTCAGTTTTAATTAATCACTTTTAAGGTGCGAATTATATCCTAGAATATGATTATGGTGGACAGAAAATAAGATTAATGTCTCTAGGACTGAATCCATACATTATTAAATGCTGGGAGGATATTGTCTACAATATTTGTTGCGAGGTTTTTCCGTTGGGGATTTCTTCCTTCCAAGTGCAGTCATTTCATACAGTCAGACACAGATCTGCTGAGGCAAAGCATTTTACTTGATCTGTATGAAAAAAAGCCTACCACTGTTCTAAAGAAATTAATTTTGTTTTGAAACTTGGATATGTTAACAATTTGCAGCGCAATACTGTGAAGTAGTTTGCTAGCATTTCTCTTCTTTATTGTATCAAATGCTAGTAGTTAATCATGGAAATCTGATTTGTTTTGATTCCTTATGCTGTGAAACTGTCATTAATGTATTCTTTCTGTTGTAAATCTCTACCATCTGGAATCTTGATTTGTATTTTTTTCAATTTAAATGCTACGTTACTTCAGTCACAGGTTTAGTCAAATAATTTCCTTTATAGTCCACTTTCATGTCTTAATGACAGGATCTGCCTGTTTGTTTACATGCTGAATAAAATACTCTTTATAATAAAATTGACATCACAAGTTTAAATTTTCCAGTCCATGCAGAGCAAAATCTAGATCAAGAATTGGCTCTGGTGAGTGAGTTTGCTGCATCTGCTGCTGGTGAAGGCCTGTCTTTTAATACGTATTAGTACATTAGAACATTTCTTTGTACTCAGGATTGGTATACTATGGATAAATAAAACTTATTACGTATGCTTGTGTGTTAATCACATTTTTATCAAGCTATCTGAAAAAAATATCGCACACATTGGCTCTTTGTCAATACATAAATAGGAACGGGAGGGGTCTTTGGCAACTAATATCACAATTCTTTGGACCATATAATAGTGTCTTTCAGCACAAATCAACATAATAAGTTATATAATTTCAAGTATGTAAAAAGCTAAAAGCAGTAAAAAGTTGGGAAAAGAAACACTAAACTGTTGTGATGTTCCGTTTTTCTCTCTGTGGTTTCTGTATCAG